GAAATTAGAAAGAGAAAATGCCTTGACCTGATTCCCTGTTCTGCCCTCCAAGCAAAATTCCCTCAAAAGAGTGTCTGTACTTGCCATAGCCGCTTCCTCTCCTCTCCTTTCTTGAACTCGCTAGCCAGGCGTTCATCCCCACTGTGCCATTGAAACGGCTCATGTCGAGGTTGCTGTTGTCCCTGATCTTGCAAAAACACCAGCCAGTCTCAAGTTCCGACCTTTTCAACAGCATCTGACCCCCTGGATTGCTATCTGGGTTTTCTTCCTTATTCTCAGTCTCCCTTGCTGAAAAATTTTCTATTTTTTGACTGCTTAATGTTGGAATGTCCTAGACATTGGGCATTTTCTCTATCTATGGTCACACCTACATGATAGCATCTGATCCCAGGGCTTTAAATAGTATTTACCTATTGATAATTTTCTTTATTTTTGAATGTTTTTATTTATTCTGAGGGAGACAGAGAGAGAGAGAGAGAGAGAGAGAGAGAACATGCACACAAGCATGGGCAGGAGAGGGGCAGAGAGAGAGGGAGAGAGAGAATCCCAAGCAGGCTCCATGCTCTGAGTGCAGAGCCCATCACAGGGCTTGAACCCACAAACCGTGAGATCATGACCTGAGCTGAAATAAGAGTGAGATGCTTAACCAACGGAGCCACCCAGGCGCCCCTACATATTGATAATTTTCAAATATATGTTTCCAGTCCAGGTTGCCCCCTTGAACTCCTTACTTTTATGTCTAATTGCATGCTCCACACTTACACCTAGATGTAGTATAGACATCTCAGATCTGACACGTCAAAACCAGACTTAACTGATGTCCCTCCACACACACCTGTTTACCTCTCCCACAGTGTTATTTTCTCGGTCATTGGCAACACCACTCACCCAGCTGCTTAAGCCAAAGAGCTCATCATTAGTTCTTCTCTTTCCTCTACTCATTGAATTCGTTCGCAAGTCTCATGAGCTCTACCTTCAAAATATACCTACAATCCGGCCATTTCTCACCTCCTCCTTTGTCATCACCCCATTACATGCCATTCTCATGTCTTCCTAGATTTTCCAATAAGAACACAATAGATTTATTTGCTTTCCCCTGGTGGGGAGGACAGGATACCTTCTTCATTTTGTATCAGGATTATGTTAGTTCTCTAGCTGTGGAATTTACTTATATCACAGAGCTATTTTTTAAAAATATTTAATAGTATTTATGTATTTACTTATTTAATTTTTGAGAGAACGAGAGACAGAGTATTAGCGGGAGAGGGGCAGAGAGAGAGAGAGAGAGAGAGAGAGAGAGGGAGACACAGGATCCGAAGCAGGCTCCAGGCTCTGGGCTGTCCACACAGAGCCCGATGCGGGACCTGAACCCACGAACTGTGAGATCATGACCTGAGCCGAAGTTGGACGCTCAACTGGCTGAGCCACCCGGGTGCCCCCATCACAGAGCTGTTGATCGTATCACTTCCTATGTGCTGGTCAACATTGTAGACAATGTGCTGATGAGCAGGAAGCAGCAGATACCTCAGGTGCCTTTGTAAGGTGCGTGTACGTCAAGGACTTGGAGATGAACTGTGCAAAAACTGAGGGGCCTGCCATCTCTAGACATGACCTGAGATCCCGTGCCTTGGATCCACTTCCTGCTGTAAGCTCTTTGTGGACCATAAGCTCTACCACAGCTCTTTGTGGATCGTTTTTCGGTTTCAAGGTACATGCACAGTTTGAGTTTGCTTCTCCGTGAAGACCTAAAGCTGCCAGTGGTGAGGGGAGCCCAGCTCCTGGTCCTGACTGTGGTGTAAGCAGCAGTGCTTCTGGCTTCTCATGGTCCATAAGATTCAGTGATGCTCAGAGGGTCTTCAGCCTACATGGCGGTGGCCTGTCCAGATCCTTGCTGAGACCTATGTTGTGCCTCCATAGGAAAATTATAGCTTGTATCCCAGGGTTTTGGAGTACAGACAAGCATTCGTTTGGAGAAAACTGTTCTGCTTTCGAAAAACAGCTCTTGGGTTCCTATGGGATTGAGGCTACTGTTTTGGCCAGATGGTCAAAGTCTTGAAAAGAACAAGATCTGGAGATTTGTGATGATTCCTAGGGAAGAGGTATTTGGACGGATTTCTCAGAATCAGCCCAAAGATACAGATATCTGTGTCCCATGTGACTTCTCATCAAAAGGCACTTGATGCAGAGGAAGTTTTCAGTTATTAGATGGGGAAGATGCTCTGCCCTGTGGCTGTCTGTCAGCTTGTTTCCCTGGCCACCCTAATGTTTGCTGGGTTCATAACCAAAATGCCCAGTGGCAAGGATGGGGCCTGTGTGTGGACTCAGAAGGAGCCTTCTCTTATCAAGAGGAATCTGGCTACTGTCACAGGAGAGACGAACACTGAGCCCTCAACAGGGCTGCACTCTAGGGCATCCAGCCGGGAACTCAGTGGTGGGTGAGTAACACCGGATTCTTCATCATGGAGGAGGCAGCCATTTATCCTCCCTGGATCCTGGTTCTATTCTAGATAGGGATCTGCTTTCCTTGCGTGCTGTGGTTCTTTAGCAACATCGTGCGTAAACTGACTGAATGCCTTGCTTTCCATCGTCGTATCCCTCATGAGATTGCTTCAGACTATTTTGCTGTAATAAATAACTTATTAAAGAAATCGACATAAATACATATATAAGTAAGGCAATGATGGGGCGCCTGGGTGGCGCAGTCGGTTGAGCGTCCGACTTCAGCCAGGTCATGATCTCGCGGTCCGTGAGTTCGAGCCCCGCGTCAGGCTCTGGGCTGATGGCTCAGAGCCTGGAGCCTGTTTCCGATTCTGTGTCTCCCTCTCTCTCTGCCCCTCCCCCGTTCATGCTCTGTCTCTCTCTGTCCCAAAAATAAATAAATGTTGAAAAAAAAAAATTTAAGTAAGGCAATGAACACAAAGTTCCTTGCTCTGGGCATATGCTCCGTCAACGACAGATCCTTCAGGGGTCCACAGGCTTCTCGCCTTTCTGTCTCCTTCGGAGAGGAGTCTTTGTGGGTGTGCCTACAGATGGGGTACATCTGAGAGGGTCTTGAGCGGGACACAGGAGCCCAGGCCAGCGTGCCCTGGCACCACTGGCTTAAAGGAACTCCAGGCACCTTACTGACTGTCCACCACGCCTAGCCCTTTCCACTTCCGGATTTTCACAGATGACGACCACTGAATGGAACTGATGAAAAGGGAAATCGGGTTGCTGATTAGCTTCCCGGAGCACAGAACCGGCACAGGAAAGATGGAGTCAGGGAGTGTCTGTCACCGAGGCCCACGTAGAACCCCTCTTAGGGCACGATTTGTACAGCCAGAGTGCCTGCTGTGTGTAACACCAGATATCCAAGCACCTTTAAATGTTCCTATTGCGTAGACCAAAAAGCCATGGCGAATGCCAAGGTGGGTGATACTAAATAAATATAACAGAAGCTTTACCTTCGGGAAGGATTTGGGGCATGTTATGGAAGGGGTCAGGATATCTGCACGTTAACAGTGTTTAGTAGGAGGACACTGTTGAGGGCAAAAGTGCCATAAAAAATGGTGCCAACCGAAAATGTCACACTAGGTAAATGTCATCGTTTACCTTTGTCACAGTAAAAGCAAAATGCTGATATTTTCTGGATGATTTATATGTTTCATGTTATAAGAACGATTACTCGGGGCGCCCGGGTGGCTCAGTCGGTTGAGCGTCAGACTTCGGCTCAGGTTTGTGGGTTCGAGCCCCTTGTAGGGCTCTGTGCTCACAGCGCAGAGCCTGGAGCCTGTTTGTAATTCTGTCTGTCTGTCTCTCTCTCTCTTTCTCTCTGCCCCTCCCCCATTTTCCCTCTGTCTCTCTCTGTCTCTCAAAAATAAATAAATGTTAAGAAAAAAAAAAAAATGTCATACTAGAAAGTCCTGGCTAAATGGAAGCTGAATTGTGGCCGCACTGAACTTGGAGGGAGGACAAAATGGCCTCATGCAGATCTTGGGCCAGAGGGGTCTTATCTGTCCTTTAGCCTCATGGCTTCCAGTTAAAGCCCCAGGCTGCAGAGGAACATCTCAGAGAAGTTTCTTCCCAGAGAACGGCTCACTTTGCCATGTGCTGGATGGGCCCAGTGAGTACACAGAATTGTGTGATTCTGGTACACGGTGTGATGTCACAGTGTGCAAAGGACTCAGAGCAAAACTTGTGGATGGGACCCTGGCACCAGGAATGGGGGCAGGTTGGCTGTCTGAGGGCTGCTTGTTCATTATGAGGCCATCTGCTACCAAGCAGCCTGCAGTAAACTAAGCCGTCAGCTGTATGAGCCCAGTGAAGAGATGGCTTAAGTGAGGGTTTAAGATGGAGGCAAGTTGGGGCGCCTGGGTGGCTCAGTCAGGTAAGCGTCCGACTTCAGCTCAGGTCACCATCTCACGGCTCCTGAGTTTCAGCCCCGCATTCTGTGCTGACAGCCCAGAGCCTGGAGTCTGCTTCTGATTCTGTGTCTCCCTCTCTCTCTGCCTCTCCCCTGCTCATGCTCTCTCTCTCTCTCAGAAAAATAAACACTAAAAAACATTTTTTAAATGGAGGCAAGCTTAGCAGGAGTTAGCAACGCTCCCACTCTCAAAGCTGCTGTAGCGCTTGGTGGAAGGTTGGTGGGCCATACCATTATCAGCCTGTGTTGCATGGTTAATTGGAAACTGACGCTATAACATGGTGTTTATAAATTAACTATATAACGTGGTGTATGTACTATTTCCCGCTGTCGTGTATTTTTCATCTTAAATGAGAGCAGGGCTTGGTTTGCTCCCCGAATCAAACGCCACCTTGTCCTTTTAAGCATTTGGGTACTTGCCTTTCCTCCAAGAGGAAAGAAAGGAAGCAAGAACTGTGTCTTGTACGTCTTCATGCTCAGGTAATGTTTCCTGCAGTGTCTTCACCGGCCGTGAGAATCGGGTAGTGATTTTGTGAGGGAATGACTTTTCCCTACCCGGGGACCGACGTAACCCACCTCTGCCTTTTTCCACCCACAGCTGTGCATGTCGGACGAGCTGTGGGAGAAGATAGTTCACTCTTGCTGTGACACCATCACACCTGACATGAGGGCCCTGGCCAAGGATATGGGCTGGAGGCAGATGTTCTTCACCAACAAGCTGCAGCTCCAGCGGCAGATCCGCAAGAGGAAACAGAAACAAGGGAGCCATAGAACAAGTCACCTTTAGGGACACATCTTCCCACCTGCAGGAGGGCCGAGAGACGGCTGTCTTTTTCTTCTGCGTCCCAATCTCTTCTGTTTCCTTCGACTGAGCACTAAGATTTCCTTCGATTTGAACTGGCTGGTTCAAGGACCCACCCGAGAAGCATACCCAGCTGGTGTTGGCGCACAGGTGCACCAAAACCCGACTCGGCAGTGCCTTACCTAAACCGCAGTCTCCTGCAGTGAGGGTCAAGTCCGTGGCCCCTGCAAAGGGCTGCATGACAGGAAGCCCTTGATACCCATAAGAAAAGAGGCTTCTGCTGTACAGGAAACAAACAATAAATGATTATTAGCAGGTTTTTTTTTTTACTACATATCCATAGGTTTTTTTCTGGCATTTGAAAGGCATCCTGAGCTTTTGAATCTTTCCCCAATGGAGGTGGCTTTGTGTCCTCCCCCCCTGCCCCCCCCCCCCCCCAGGGAACGGGGAGGGGCAGGGGCCACGGGAGGCAGTTGGCAGTCTGGTGAGCGTAGCTGCCTTCCCAGCTCTCTTCCCCTACATTTGAATTCAGGGCCCCATCCTGTGGGCCCCGGGATGCCACGCTCCATCCCTGCGTGGGGACAACCCCAGATCTAGCCCTGCGGCGAGCCCAGCATTCTGCCTGCGGACCCCTCTCCAGAGCCCACCTTCCCAGGACTTCACGTGGCCAAATAGAGCTACCAGCTTTTCTCAGAGGGATGCTGTTTCCCCAAAGGAATGTGATGGGTAATTTAGAAAGTGCTTTCTCCCTGAGCTGTCCTGAGGATGAAGTACCCCCAGATAATGACAGTCTTAGCGCAAATAACCTAATGACTCCTTTTAGGTGACAGAAAAAAGTAGCTGTCAACCTCCCATCACCTTCTTCACCGTTACCATTTCTTCTTCCCTACGACCTCCACCTTAGTGCCTAGAAGAGATCATCTATGCTGCACCTGTTCCCCGTGCAGGGGAATTTCCTGTGATGCCCCGAGACCTCCCACACGGGCTGTTCTCCACGCCTGAGTCCTTCTGAACGGCTCATGGCTGTGGCTTGGTGACACCTTCTTTCTCTCTCTCTCTTTTTTTTTTTTTTTTACCAAAACCTGTGCTAATATCAAACCAGATTTTAACTCCCATCCCTTAAAACTCACACCCATGAAACTCAGAGATTTTCCAGCAACATCTGTGAGATCAAGCGCAGTCTGCTTCCTGTCAAAGTTGTGCCTAGATGGAGTCCAGGCAAACAGCAAAGATTTAATGGGTGAGAGACCCAGGCCTCATTCCCCACCCGGGAGAGATCTGTCAGGGTGACGCAGGTGACTGGCCGGCAGGCGGAGGGCACGCACTTCGTCACGGCCCCTGCAGCCTTGTTTCTCCCCGAGGTCCCTGAGGTCGCTCAGGGCCAGCTGTTTAGTGCCAGAACACAGATTAATACCACGTGTGTGCAATGACTGTGTGTGTGCACAACTTGGTGTGCAGCATAACTACATAAATATAAAATTGCAACTCATTCGTCGCCGATGCAAATATGTCAACAGCTTAAGCATTGCATATCTAGTGTTTAATCAACTGACAGACTCTGAAAGCTTATGGGCGGGCACAACATTCTAGATTCAATATGAATTTGTATTTGGAAGAACACAAATGTGGCCATTTGAAAACTCTTATTACCTACGTGAAATGTAATGTAAAAATGGGCGCTGAAAGTAAATAGCAATGAAAAGGGAATTATTCATACGTTGACTGATGTTAGATAGGACTTTAAATAACATAGGTTACTAGATTATTCTGGGGATTATATGCCCTAATGATTTGGGTGCCTTATTACCCGATTATATATATATATATATATTTTTTTGTCAACCTATAGACAGTATCACCAACCTACTATCTGCAGGGGACCAGTATCCTCAGCAGCTGATACATCTTGCCCCTCTTCGCCAGCCTCATTCTCCATGTTTGATCCCACGTGACAATCCCACTGGATGGGAACAGGCAGGTCTGGTGTTGATCTCTGCCTCACTTGACAGCTTTCACGTAGACAAATTAATCTGCTTTGCTTATGACACACCATTTCACAGTGAAATGCTGCAGCATCGTATAATCTTGCCCTTTCTCATATTTTCAGTCAAAAGTGTTCCTACTCTGTTATCATTTACCGTTGTCACAGTAAAAGCAAAATGCTGATATTTTCTGGATGATTTATATGTTTCGTGTTATAAGAACGACTACTTGGGGCGCCTGGGTGGCTCAGTCGGTTAAGCATCCAACTTCGGCTCAGGTCATGATCTCACGGTTTGTGAGTTCGAGCCCCGCATCGGGCTCTGTGCTGATAGCTCAGAGCCCAGAGCCTGCTTTGGATTCTGTGTCTCCCTCTCTCTCTCTCTGCCCTCCCCTGCTCATGCTCCGTCTCTATCAAAAATAAATAAACATTAAAAAAAAATGACCACTTAACAACAGCAAATGTGAAAACTTATAAACAACAAAAAATATATTTTACTTAATGACAAATTCTCTTACTGCTTTTTTCCTGAACGAGGTAGCTCGGTACTTGCATTCAACCTCACTTATGTGGAATCCAAATTGATCAATTTTGGATTATTGATCAAAATAGTGATTCTGAGTAGGCTCAAGATGTAGACAGAGACTATGAATTGAGCGAAGGGTGGGAAGCAGGGGTGGGACAACTTAACCAGTCACCACTCATCATTGTTTTCCCAGCTCCTTCTGTCCGAGATGGTCACCAGCCCGCATTAACTACCCCAAACTGACTCCCACGACGCCCAAGACTAACATAGAACGACCTTAACTAAAAACAGAAAACCTTTGTGCGACAGTTTTTTGCTCTGAGCTCTAAGATGATGCCATTTATCTGCAGTTTGTGTTAAGATAATATACTGTGGGAGAATGTCCAAGCTTTTCAGCTCGGAGCCATTGGTGAAATAAGAGTGAATGTCTTTGATATTAAAAACGGTACGTAGACAGGCTACCACCACATGAACGAGAAAACATGCCCCTGCAGTTAAAACATAACATTATGCATGAGGTCATCTTAGAAAGTAAAACTGATATCTTAGCTTTACGTATTTATTGTTTTGAAACGAGATCATCCATACCGCGGGATGGCAGTCATTTGCCCTTCCTTGCAACATGGAACCCTCAGGGCCGGGAGCTACCAAAGACTCCGTGTTCCCTGCTTATCCTGTTCCCAGATCCATGTTCCTTCCACATAGGTCTCCATTCAGAAAAGTAATTTGCAGTTGTGAAATTTGTTCCACCCATCCAGGAAGTCTTATAGCCATAGATCCATGGTCACAGAATGAGTTAGAATAAGCTTAGAAATAGTAACGGTAATGGTAGTGGCAGCTTTCATTCGTTGAATGCCTACCGTGTGCCAAGAAACAGGTAGTAACCAACTTAATTCTTGCAGCAACCCTTGAAGGTAAGTGATTATTATTTCTGTCTTAGAGATCAGAGATCTACCAACTATGGTGTAGGCCTAATTTGATTAGCGCCTCTTTCTGTAGAATAAAGTTTTATTGGGACATAGTTTAAGCATCATCTATGGCCACTTTCACATTACGGTGGCAGTAATTGGGAGTCACAATACAGACTGTATGGCCTGCAAGGCTCAAATTATTCTCAAAGAGGACAAATTAATTTTCCCAAGGTGTCGTAACTAATAAGTGGTAAAGCTGATATTTAAATCTGTACTTAAAGTCTGTGCGCTTAACCACAAAAACCACATACCACTTCTCTTTGCGGAGCCAACACCTCATTTGACCAATGGAATTTGAAAAGGTGAAAGGATTTGCCCAAGGTCATTTGAAATAATTAGAGGGCCTTGAGCATAATATGAGACCATTCTAATTTAGTTGTCCAGGGAATATTCCAAGCTTTTGATGAACTAAGTTTTTTTTTTTTTTTTTTTTTTTTTTTTTTTTTTTTTTTTTTTGATTTTAATTCCAGTGTAGTTAAGAGTGTTATATTCGTTTCAGGTGGACAATATAGTGATTCAACAATTCCACATATTATTATCAAGATAAGTGTACTCTGAATCCCGTTCACCCATTACACCCGTCCTCCCCACCCACCTCCACTCTGTTAACCATCTGATTGTTCTCTATATAGTTGAGAGTCTGGGGGTGCCCGGGTGGCTCAGTCAGTTGAACATCTGACTCTTGATTTTGGCATAGGTCATGATCTCACAGTTAATGGGATTGAGCCCCGCATCGGGCTCTGCACTGGCCAAATGGAGCCTGCTTGGGATCCTGTCCCTCCCTTTTCTCTCTGCCCCTTTCCCGCTCACGCTGTTTCTCTTTTTCTCAAAATAAATAAATAAACTTAAAAAAAAAAGAGTCTGTTTTTGGTTTGTCTCTCTTCTCCTTTGCTGGGTTTTTTTTCTTAAATTCCACATACAAGTGAAATCATATGGTGTTTGTCTTTGTCCAACTGGTTTATTTCACTTAGCATAATACTCTCTAGATCAATCCATGTTGTTACAAATGGCAAGGTTTCATTCTTTTTTATAGCTGAATAATATTCCATTGTGTGTGTGTGTGTGTGTATATACACACACACACACACACACACACACACACTACATATTCTTTTTTTTTTTTTAATTTTTTTTTTTCAATGTTTATTTATTTTTGGGACAGAGAGAGACAGAGCATGAACGGGGGAGGGGCAGAGAGAGAGGGAGACACAGAATCAGAAACAGGCTCCAGGCTCTGAGCCATCAGCCCAGAGCCCGACGCGGGGCTCGAACTCACGGACCGCGAGATCGTGACCTGGCTGAAGTCGGACGCTTAACCGACTGCGCCACCCAGGCGCCCCACACACTACATATTCTTTATCCACTTATCTATCAATGGACACTTGGGCTGCTTTCATAATTAGGCTATTTTATTTATTTATTTATTTTTTTAGAAAATGTTTATTTTTGACAGAGAGTGAGACAGAGCATGAACGAGGGAGAAACAGAGAGAGAGGGAGACACAGAA